GGCGGAACAAGAGATTCCGTCTCAAATATTTTGGCTCTTGTTCCAACATACTTTTCGACAGTATATTTAGCTTTCCTTATATTTCACAGTATTTCATTGAATTATTTATGAGGAAAGTTACGGTAATTCATTTTGGGACACTGTAATGTTTCAATGATTTTCATTTTACTTTTCATCGATTTTATGTTTTCAGTGAAATATTTCTATCAGGTGTGTGAATAATTATCGTGTGCGTGTATCGAAAATTAACAAACACTGCACACGATCGCCGGTGTTGTAATTCCGCCGCATCAACCTCTCGAAAGCGTATCTCCGCGTATCTGCCTGGAATCGCTCGAGATCCTTTCGCGTTCTTTTATCACCAATCTCGCGGATCGATGTACGATTGCCACGAATCCCAGCAAACACCAAAGTAACAGTTACATAACATCAATATAAATTTAATACGATACATGCCTGTTATATTACATTTATATTGATGGCATGTAATTGTTACTTTGGTATTTGCTAGGATACGTGTCATTCTTTTTAATTATCCGTATTAGATTATTCCGCGCATGTTATTAAAAGTAATATTTTTCATCAGTGTAATGCAGTGAGATTGTATTGATCGAGTTCTGGCAAGTACAAATGGTCGTTGCATTCTGATAGTCGCGATGTTACCAACGGCCAGTCATGTTAGGATTACTTGTGACGTTTGGATAACATAAATTTTTATTAATTTTTTTAATCAAAGGAGATTTGTGCGAGTTGACCTCGCAATAAAGAGCAGAATTGGAGAAAAACTTATTTTACACACAATTGGCGTACGTTACTTTAATTAAGACCTGAAAGAGACTTTGTCCGAATCTACCTTGTCTCTGCAAACTCGCTAATTTTCTGTAAACAAAATGGGGACCAAAGATCAATATTCTAACGGACGAAGGAGTCTAATGCATATAACTTTCGCGGACCTAACTTCGTCATCAAATCAAACTGATACGAGAGGACCAGTTTCCACTGTCTTGCTCGTCGGGTTGCAAAAGTCTCGTTCGTTTCATCTTAGTGAATAAAAAAAGTATTAATTCAAGTTGACAAAAATTATTTACTTTGATGTTAGACTCATCCCCAGTAAACCTGACGAATGCAGGAACTGAAAATTGGGAGGCAAGTTGAATTTACTGCAGATTTCCATAATTTCCCAATGAGAAATGACTCGATCATCGTTTCGACATCGATTGACGAGTCATTTCTCGCTGGATTGGTGACTTGCAGATTCCTATAATTTTGTGATTTACAATTAAAAATAACACACTCGATTATTCCCCCCACTGAGAATTTATTATCTACTGCCATTCCGCAATCTGCGAACATTTGGATGGTAATTAGATACTGGCACGTTGGTGGCTATGTGCAAGCATATACAATTTCTAAATTGAAATCCTCGAACGATACATAATGAAGATTCATGAACGTAATTAAAATTTCGAGTTATAACACGCGACTGCAAAGAAATGAATTATTTTAGTCTTTTATGATATTACACTGCACGTACAATACACATATAATCTCTGTAAGAATGTTGTTATATTAATATGTCAGCTGTGTAATATTATTGTACGCAGTAAAAATTTGCGTACACGTAATGGAAAAATTCCTTTGTCTCCCAATATCGCTAATTACGAAAATGTGTTTGCACGAGACGCATGTGTATATTTTCCGCAATCGAGAAAGATTTTTTAAATGTGATTGATTTTTCCTCATTCTAATACATCAAATAGAAGTAATTGAAAAATTATCGATCCACTTTCTTGTGGTACATCCTCTTTTGTACCACAATTTTTGCTCATACATCTACACGATACTTATTTTGTTAATAAACAAATGTATTTATTTTATCACTGGCGACTTGCCGTCTCCCAAAAATTCGTCGAGAATGTCTTTGAAACATTCGCGCAGAAAAATTTTTCAATATTCATCGAGTTCATGTACTGCACATTGTTCATTGTGTAACACACTTATCTTATGTAAACGGCAGTGAAATCTGTGATACCATATATAAGAAAGACAAATAAGTATTTTAGCAGCTAAAGGACCGAAGTGCTTACGGCGTTCGAAATTCCACGAATTCCCGCGCTTGATAAGCCTCGATAATCGAAATTTTTAACATCTTAGCTACGTGTACGTAAATCCCGCTCAAGAGTGACGTCACGTAGACCAGTAAATTGTTCATTTGAACGCGCGTACGCCGCTTCAGAATATTTCGCATACCGGAGAGCACTTTTTTCATGTTTTTGCTCTCGTCACGTTCGAAAAAGCGTTGTGTACGCGTTTCTCGATCCGTCCCATCCCCTCCCAAGGGCGTCCGCGCGCCGCCCGTTGGCACCACTTCTTCCCCCTCCAACCGGCGCGGCGGCCGGCGACGTGCCTGCTATGGCGATGTTTACAGCGTAGTCACGGCAACGGTTCATGTGATCACGATCAGTCGGTGGTGCGTCGCGCGCCGGGCAACAGCGGACGTCGGTGGTGTGCGTCGAATTCCGATTGTGTGTCGTTTCGCGTCGTCGCCGATTCCCTCCGGAGCGCCGACGGCCCCGACGATCGAGAAAAGTGGATGGGAAAGTGGGCGCGCTTTTCTCCTCCGGTCGTTCCGCGCGGATCGAAGCCTACGGGACCGACGTATCGAGCGAATGAAGCGTGCCTCGATAATCGAGGCGCGCGGATCTCCCGCGGCGCGCATTTGTTTTTAGCGAGTGACGCGATCGGGCCGCGAAATTGACACGACGAGGCGATGGTGGCCGAGCGCGATTAACGGGCCATTTTAGCAATCGAGGCGTTCGAGGCTCGCGAGTGTCGCGACGGGGCGACAGGTGGAAAGAGAGAGAGAGAGAGACAGAGTCGCGCGAAGGGGGTGGCGCTTCGCGCGTTACGACGTGAAGTTCGCGGGGAAAAAGTTGGCGCGCGGCGATCACGTGATTGCGCGGCGCGGCGCGAAGGACACGGTTTGGGTCGTGTTATGGTCCGCGCGTCTCCGTTGCTCGCGGGACCGCGAAATGAGGAGGGTGGCGACGCAGCGGCGCGGTCGTCGGTGAGCCCCAGGGACCGTCGCGCCGATTCCGCTCCACGCGCCGGACCCGCGGCAAGTCCGCTCGCAGCAGCCCCCAGCAGGCTCGCGCGCCGCTCGCCCCCGGCGCGGGCATGATGCCGCGAGGCCTGCCGACGAGACGCGGCCTGCAGGCGCTGGCGCTCGTCATCGCTACCGCCTACGCCACGATACTCCTCTACCAGGCCGTCGCGCCACGCCAGGTAATTAGAGCGATCGTTATCGCCGTTATCCTCCCGCCCCTCCCCCTCCCCTCCCCCCGCCCCATCGCCGCCGGCGACGGAGGTCGCGCTGGGAAACGCTCTACCCTCTCGGAAAAGGCGTCTCCGACGACCAAGAGTTTTTTTCGTCAATGTCGGTCTAAAGTTGGTTACGAGGGTGAAACCGCTGAGCAAAATGTTGTACACCAATGCCCGCTAATGCCCAGTGGGCATTACTTAATTTTATCTTGTTTTATCTTTGTAATGCCCCAAAAATGCCTAGTAATGCCCAGTAATGCCCTCAGCGGTTTCCCCCTCGGTTGGTTATATTAGAAATGCACTGGCTGATATTGTCCAACGCAAAGCCAGTATTGGCCTTGGAATAGATGTACGCATTGCACGATAATAATTATATGCTATCAGATTTACGTTTACGTCAAGCGACATTGTCCACGGAAGTAATCGCACACCGAGGAAAGTCCTTTCCCGATGTCTCTTGCAATTAGCGCCGATGAAAGTCCACTGCACGAGAGAGAGAGAGAGAGCCGCATCTTAATAATACATTCTGTTTGTGTGCCGCAGTGGGTCGACGAGATGAACGTGGCGGAAGTGAACAGCCGCGGCGTGATAGTGGAGGTGCCGGCGTCGAGGAAGCTAATCAGCGAGGAGTCTGCGGCGACGCCGCCGGTGGCGACGGCGACGATGGCACCGTTCGCCACGAATCTCGACGACGTGTTTATCAGCGTCAAGACCACCAAGCACTATCATCACTCGCGCCTGCCGGCCATCGTCGACACGTGGTTCCAGTTCGCCAGGAACCAGGTGAGTCCACTCCGCCACCGCCGCCGCCGCCGCTGATCGCCGTGAAATGCCGATATCCCGGATTCATTAGCGTCGCTCCATCGCCCCGTGCGGTTTCTTGCGCGCCGACCTTGCGACGACCTCGTTACAAATATGGGCACGATCGCCTGAAAACACCTCGAGCTTCCCGAGGACGTGCCGCTCGATAATTGGGATACTTTCCAGTACCCGGTCATACCTCGTTCGTTTCACTCGCAGCGAGATGTGTTAATTTACTCGTTTTAAAAGGAAATTGGCTCGTTTAATAATATAATGCAAGTTGAAAGGGGAGAAAGCCCGAATGTACGCGGAGAGAATTTTCTTTTAAAATTTATCCTGAAAATTATGTAATCGTGGGACAACGTGGTATTTTCAAGAACTTTACGAGAGTTTTGGAAATTTTACCATACATTTTGCTAGTATTTATACATTTTAGTAAAGTGTATGGTAAAATTTCAAAATGCCATATTGTCTCACGGTGATTTTCAGGATAAGTTTTAAGAGAAAATTCTCTTCGTGTAACACTGAGATGTTGTGAACATTTAATTCTTTACTTTCGAATTGACTCGAATAATGAATTTATTTATCATTTTTGATCAGTTTCGCTCGCTCTTCATAAACAGTCGCGTTTATCTCGATATCGTTCGGTATTTGCGGAGCTATTCGAAACTACCTTAATTAATTAACAGCGTGTAGAAGTGCAGCGCTTCTTCTCTCTCGTTTGAACATATTTGCTCATTACTAGATGTATTTAATAATAATTTCATCGTTCAAGTTAATATTTGCACGGGTGCAATAATCTTAGGGGGGACAAGATTAATATCGTGGCACTTGAAAAAAAAATTAATTTTCAAGATTATTACTCGATTCGCGCGCTGTTATTCGCGAGAACAGTGGGCCCGGACGAGAGCCGTAAGAATTAATCGTGTTAAAGTGTGATAAACGCACGCGCGGTCTTATCGCGACGTCTCCATCACCGCGAGATTCATCTACGCGCTTTCTTGCGGAGCGGAATAGGCCACACTTTGTACACGACTCGTTGGGCCTTATCCAAGGGTATCGAAGCGTATTCGCGCGTATTTACCGTAGACCGTGTCGCCGATGATCAGCGTGAATTCACGATTTCTCGCGCCGTGGGAATGGGATCCGTTCCGCTCTTCCCTCCCTACAATTTCTCATTTGCCTTTTCGCGTAACATCGCCGGGGTACCGTCCGTACGCGAAAAACAAGGGGGGGAACCGCGGCCCGCGAGTAGGATTCGCGCGATAATATCGCTGCGAAATTTAATCGACTGGACCCTTTCGATCACAATGGATTCAAATCCTTTGGGAAGTCTCAACAATCTTTTCTCTCGACGCGCACGGCAATTATCCGATCTTCACCGGTATCGATCGTCTATTCGTATTCAGATTTAAAGTAATTGCGCGTGCGCGCGTTATTATGCATATATGATATTTTTACACATTTAGAGGAAAGTCCCCTATTAGGAGATAGGCTCCTAATATAAGACCGCGGCTCTACAATATCCAATTTTACAAATCTGTTTTGCTACAATTACACGCACGATCTAACAACGAATCTTTCAATAAACAGATTTCACTCCAGGGGCAACAAGTTCATACACGGAGAGAATTTTCTCCTAAAATTTACCCTGAAAATTGTCTAATCGTGGGACAACACTGCATTTCGGAGAACTTTGAGCGTTTCGAAATTTTACCATAAATTTTACAGGTAATTTGTTCCATCACGCGGAATTTTCTCTTGAAACTTACCCTGAAAATCATGTAATCGTCAGACGACGTGGCTTTTCTGGAAATTTTACTGGTAAAGCGTATGGTAAAATTTCAAAAAACTCTCATAAGATTCTCGGAAAGGTCATGTCGTCTGACGATTGCATGATTTTCAGGGTAAGTTTTAAGAGAAAATTCCGCGTGGTGGAACCAATAGACGGAGCCTATTCATTTAGCAGAAACCGCGCTGTCTCATATTAGGAGCTCCATCTTATAATAGGGGACTTTTCAATAAATGTAGATCGAAAAGAATCTTTTCGAGTACTAGTAAAGGCGGCGGACAAGCATATCTTGATAATTAATAACTACCAAGGAAACCTTGAGAAGTTCTCACACGCCGCGCCGCGCCGGTATGATTCTTGCGTCGGATAAAGAAAGAAAATACTCTCGTGCATCACTCAGCGGCGCTTCCGCGTCCTTCTGCACTTCTCCGGGTTAATATACCGTTCCTCCAGGTAATTACTACCTGGATTTGCACGAGTTCTCGCGTTTCCTGCAATCTCGGTTGATTTCCTCTACGCTTTTCGGGCAAGGAAACTTTAGCGACTTCAGTTACGAATACATTACCTCGTCCCGTTTCTTGATATCTAATCTCCAATTCTTTATTTCGTATCCTTATTTATTTGTCATTTATTTATATTGCTGTACATTTATTTACACTATTTTTTACCTCGGCAATTGGATGGGTTCCTTATCGAGTTTTCAATTGTATTTGCAATTGCGACTCTTTTTACAAATGTCACAGAGTCCCCGTTTGATCAGTTTAATCTTAATCTTATTTTACAATTAGTAACAATTAATATATGAAAATCTTTTTACGCTCAATATCTCTAAGCTCAAGTTAACACAGTCTTAAGTCACAGAAACTATTATAGAACGTATATAAACTTGTTGAAAAGGGCAATTTTGTTACTTTTGCAGCAATTACTTTCGATCGCGACCTGCTGCATATAGCCACGACAATTCCAGCTGAAGATTTCTTGAAAAAAATGAAAAGTGCTTATTTACCTCGGCGTGTTTACTTGAGTACGATCTATTATTATTTTTTTCATAAAAATTCTTTTGATATGAAACATTTTGCATTTTACACATAAAGCACAAGTCTCGAGCACATCGTAGTTACATGCAGCACGCAATAGGAAGTTATAATTTTAACATAGACATTTCTTTAAGTTGCCAGTAATAAGTAACAATAATCGGGCTTATTAGTTTTAATACAGAGAATTTATTGCGAAAAGTGTTAATGTCGACTAATAAGCTTGATTAAAATTTTAACATACTTAGAGCATATTTAACCGAGTTTTGCTCAATATCCTGGCGTGCCAGCCGGGATTCAGCAGGAAAAACTCTACGAAAGACGATGGGTCTTGCAGACTGTGCGCCGAGATACGCGTTGAACTCAATTCTTATGACACGACGCGCGGTGTCTTAATTTGCCTCGTATCTGGATCATTCCTCGCTCCCGTCGATCTCACGCTTTTTCCACGCGGTACGCTCGCGTTGCCCGCGCCGACTCGCCGGCACGCATTTTCCGCGACGCGGGCGAGAAAAAGCGCGATGAGAAGAATAAAAGTCTGTGTACGGCTGTGTGTGCGGTTTGCGGTTCGTGGGAAGATCTCACGATTTACCTCCGACCCTGACGACCCCCGCGTTAGCCGACTTAGTCCACCCACGAGCACTCTCAACGAACTCACCTTTTTCGTCGTTTCTTTCTCGATAATTAAACGATGCGCCACGATCCCGCGAGTCGGCCGGAGCGATCGTTCTCTAATTTGCGTGTGTGAGATCGGGGTTATTATTGATTCTCACGTATTGTTGCTGAAATCCGATGCACTCAGTCAGCGTATAATTTCGTGTAAAAAAAAAAAAGAGCGACCGTAATTGCACGAAGGAATTTTTTCACGTTGTAAAGACGAGAATCGGTTCGAATGATTGCACACTCGCAGCTTGATCGCGTCGTTAATGAAGCGCCGCGCTTGGTGGTAAAAGAGAGATTATTTATTTTACGCGTTTATTAATTTATAAAATTAAGAGCCTTCGATCAAGAATTTTGCCGATTAAAAAAATAATACACGATCAATAATGTTGGACGATCGCAAGACTTCCCTCTTTCCCTGCGAGATTAGAAATTCACGATCCAATTTACGGTAGGTGATTTATCGCGGTGAGGATAATAGACTCGGGAAGAAACCCCAGCCACCTGCCTAAGGTTCAAAATTATTTCAAGCAGTAAGTCTTGAAAATGTATATCGATTTCTCTGGATATGCACAAATCTCTTTCTTGCTGGTTTTTTCACAAAACAGTCTTGGCGAAGATATTCGTGATGCATGTATCTTTGAAGATGATCGTAGAGGAAAAAAGTAATGCATTAAGCTCCAATAGAAATCACGAAGTGCAGAGTGGCACTTGTTGACGTTTTGACGAGACGTATAAATTATATTTCAATTAGGTATAAGTTAAACAATTTTTTAAAGTCATTCCACAAAACTTGTGAACATTGTGCAACTAATTGCTAGAGGAAAGTCCCCTATTGTGAGACAGCGGGATTTCTGTTAAATTAATCGGCATCGTCGATTAATTCCACCATGAATTTATTGCTCTTGGAGTGAGATCTGTTTAGTGAAAAATTCATCGTTAGATTGTGTTGCAAAAAGAGATTTGTGAGTGAATATGAGTGTTGAAAACCTGCTATCTCATATTAGAGAACTTTCCTCTACTAATAACGTCATTTAAAACGTAATTACCTTAAAATGGTGATAAAGAAAACAGATGAGAGCTCTATAAAAGCTATTTATAATAAATCAGTTAATAATTTCTTACGGTATTTTGCGTTTTCAACTAGAATATAATTTTATCGCCCTATAATGTGCGCGTACGTATTAAACTTTTATAGGTTTATAAAAAAGTAAAACGGACTAGAGTATTGTGTGCGGCAGCTCGCGCTGCTGCGGTGTTGGGTTTCCCTCCTAAATTGGACAGGGGTGAGCAATAGGTCGCATTGTTTTGATTATTAATACGTCGTATATCACAGGTAACGCGTTTTAATAATGCGCTCCACTGAGGAGGAACATTGATTGCGCATTTATTGTTGCCACGATCCCCCCCACGTTCGCCTTTCCTCCCTCGGCCGCCACCTTACGACGCCGTTAATGACCTTTAATGGCCGCGTTTATACACCTCGCCACCTACTTCTTTTCTCGTTCTTATGGGCTCGGTGGTTTACGTGCCATGTAATAGGATCAAATAGTTAATATCCGTTTCTTTAAGTCCTCCTCCAGACATCCGCCCGGAAATCTAGAAAACAATCGAGCTTTATGTTTCTTATTGCAGAATTCCGATTGTTGCAATGGCAACGAAAATTACATGGCTGACGCATCGGCGAATATGTTTCATCCTAATGTCCTAAACTTTTCAATTCCGATTCTGATAATATTGCAATTTACTTGATCAGTTTTTTTTACTCGACATTCTCTTAAAATATTCAGGAGCGATCATCTATGATTTTCTAATATTAACAAGTGTCTTAACAATGAAACGGAATTCAACACCTCAGCAGCACGAGCTGCTACACACATTAACTCTGGTCTGTTATCCTTTTTTAAAATCTACAAAAGTTTACTTTAATAAATACGCATACATTAAAGGCAATAAAATTATATTCTATTATAGTTGAAATTGTTAAGAAGCTTTTGTTACTTAATTGCAGTCTAAGAAGGTGGTTAAAGGCATTTCCTCTGGAATTCTGTCAATCAAATATGAGTAATTTTGTGCCTAGCGGGGATATCTTTTTTCGAAAAATTTTTTTCTAACAAAATTCATAGTTGAAGCCCTTGTTGGGGCCCAAAATTCGTCGAGATTCCTTCTCGCGCCTTTCTTTAAACTCGATAGTCATGCCGTTCGATTATCGTGTCATTAAGCGGAGGTGTGGACACACACGGTTAGGTACAAATTTTCGTGATTCATAAAACGAAACCCTCGAGATCCCCCGAGGGTCGATCGCGGGTCAAAGTCTGGTGTCGTTACTCAGAATGACTCGGCCGATACTGCAATCCCCCAATCGTCGAAGGCCTTGCCGCGCCTGTCGGGGCTGCCTTCGGATAATTGGTCGATTACTTTGGTTATTTAAGCAAGTCTTAAAAGGTCCGATGCAATTTCGCGCGGCGCGTCGATGAGGGCTCGCTGCGCTTCGGCGAATTATTTCCTCTTAATTTACATTGCTCTTATATGCGCCGAGTCGCCGGAGCTGATTTTCGATTGGCCTCCAATGCGATACAATCAACCATCGCCGAGCGACATTCGCCCAATTCTCCTCGATTGACGATTACATAAAAATCTAAAGAAATATTAAATTTTGTTTGCAGCTTAAGACTGTGTTTCAATATATACAAAACAATGAACGCGTTAATTCGAGTATATAAGAGTTGATCCGACACTTGTTTTTCTGCGCGAATAGATCTCTCGAGCCGGATAGAATCTACACGTAAATTCGCAACGTATTTTAACGATTTCTTTTCCTCACGGGAGCCGGCAGCGTTTGCTCCGCGTAGGTGGCACGCAGTCGTTAAATTTCCTTTCGCGCGCTTTAGGACAAATTCGCCTCGCCTAATTAGACGTAACGAGCGAGCCCTAATGCGATTCCACGCTCTTGACACATTCGCAAACGTTGTGTGTCGCGGCGCACGGCTTACGAGCGGAATAACCAACACTCGGGACGGCTCGACAAATTCCCGGGAAAAGCTCCAAGATCAGCTCAACGACGGCTCTTTTAAGTACGACGCACGGGCGGGATTAATGCAATTATGTCGATGTAACGCGACGCCGGTGCCACTGACGTCATCGCGATACACTCGTCTCTTATTTTTGTTACACGACATCCATTCGCCCTGCCGGATACTCGTGTTCTTTCTGGGAATGCTGACGAGTTCTCCGGGCCTCTCTCTTTCTCTTTCTCTATTCGCATAAACTCGGATAAACGTGTTGCAATTGCTATTTTTAACGTTCGTCACGTTGCACCACGGATATCCGCTATGGATACCCGCCATGGATACCCGCCACATCCGAGAAGTGCGGGGCGAACTTATCGCGGCAGCCGCGGCTCGTTCGATTCCGCTTACATAAACCCGATGCAGTCGAGTAAATTTTGTTCTCGGGGCCCATTGATTAAATCCCGCGTTTATTTATGCGGTGCTTTGTGCGGTCCGTTCAATATAAGCGATTTAATTCTATTTTAATTAACGAAATAGAACGCGAACATTGGCATGCGCGGCGCGCGTTCGACGAGCGAATATTTGCCGATGTAAAATTTATAGAGATTATTAGGTATGCCTTTATAGGATGCTCCGCAATCGCGTCGAGATTCTCCAACAAGTTGCGTCGGAATTTTGTTAATGCACCACTTCAGTGGTGGAAGCGGAGCACGCGGAGCCACGCAACCGCACCCACAGCAAAGATTTTCTGATCCAATACTATTACACCTGGATCTATCGCAAAATAGAATCGATACAGCGATAATGATATTTATTGTTAAGAAAGGGATATTTCAATCTTTAAGTGGAAAATTCTTAAATCTAGAATAAAATGACGTTGGCTCGTGCATCTTAACACCGAGAGGAGATTTATTTATTCTAGACGCAAGAATATGTGATCTTCTAAATTTATACATATATGTTATTCTTGTCGCAACATAGTAAGTTAATCTTATTTCACTCGACAGGAGAATAGAAATTATCAATCAATCTTTTATTCACTTTAGCTTACAGCCAGAAAGTGGGACTTGGTTTACAATAGAAACTTAACTCATTCACTCATCCATACCCGCCCTAACTCTAAACTATGGAGAATAGAAATTATTGATTTTTAATATTATTTTATACACGTGGCTGCGTTTATGTAAGCGGAATCGAACGAGCCGCGGCTGCCGCGGTAAGTTCGCCCCGCACTTGTCGGATGTGGCGGGTATCCATGGCGGGTATCCATAGCGGATATCCGTGGTGCAACGCGACGAACGTTAAAAATAGCAATTGCAACACGTTTATCCGAGGCATGCGAATAGAGAAAGAGAAAGAGAGAGGCCCGGAGAACTCGTCAGCATTCCCAGAAAGAACACGAGTATCCGGCAGGGCGAATGGATATCGTGTAACAAAAATAAGAGACGAGTGCATCGCGATAAGTGTAAATGCGTCGAGAAGATTTTTTGTCTCGTTATCAGAAATCCTTTCCGAGAGGGCGAGAGGGTCGCGTCGCGTTTTCTCGTGAAAAATCTTGCTCGGTTTTCCCGGTCGCTTGTGCGGAACCGGCGCGATATATCGCCGCGTGAACATGATCGGGACAATGCTTTTGACGTCTGGAGCACCACCTCCTTCTGTTCGTTCTTGCTCGTTCGCTTCCTGAAGGGAACTGGGCTCTTGGGAACTAAAAATAAGCGACTACTTTACCACGTGCAGCGTACGCCGATCGTAACGTAACGACGCCGCGATACGTTCGGGTCCAGATGCAACTGTCGCGGAAGGGTGACTGCGACGCGACAGATACAAATGGGGAGTCTCAGCTCTCGCGGTGCTGCTGAGAAAAATTTTCCAACGCGACGAGATACACGAGAAACTTGAATGGTCCTTAATTGAAAGTATGCTACTTTACAATCGTTGCCATATACTCTGACAAGTTTTTCGTTTTCTTCGAACAGCGATTAGAGCGAAGGAGAATATTGTAATAATTCAATACGTTTGTCCTATTCCGCGGCCTGAAAAAAATTCATTTAGGTTAAATAATTGAGAACGTTGAAATCGTGTTTCTTTGAATCGACCAAATTTTTATTTAGTGAAATACAAGGATTGGACCTGGACCTCTTCCAAATCGCCACAGACGTCCTTGTCAATTAACACTCCATTTTATAGCGTAGCAAGAAAATGTTGATTATGTAGTCTTCATGGCTTCCGGATGGTTGCCGCGTCCGTTTGCAGTGTGGTGCCGACGTTTCGCAGGCGTTGCAGTCTGCTTCATCAGGGCTGGGAGACTCTGATACTGATACCTGGACACCCCCTCCCTTCCCTCCCCCCAAACGAGTATAAAAGGACTAGCGCAACGCGAGGGAGCACAGTATCAGAGTCTCCTAGCCCTGATGAAGCAGACTGCAACGCCTGCGAAACGTCGGCACCACACTGCAAACGGACGCGGCAACCATCCGGAAGCCATGAAGACTAAAGAAGACAACAGCCGCGAAAGCCTGAAAGCCAAATGTTGATTATATTTTCAGGTAACACTTTGCGGTTGCGAAAATAATATTTGCGTTAAAATCACAGATGTTCTCTCTTGCGATTGCTAAGTAAACGTAGTTTTCGTGTACAGCGTGTACATTTAGAGCCACGCGTGGCATTTTCCTTAACTCGTTTCTATTCTCCTGCCTCGCTTCCGAAAATTGTTACGATTTCGCTATCTCGCGAATACAAAAATCAAAGAGGGAGAGAGAGAGATAGAGAGGGGGTGTATCGTGGCGCAAAATGTTTCAAGGCTGAAAGATTTATTACGTATAACTGCGAATGGAGCGATCCATTTCGAAGGGATAGGAAAGGGATTGAAATTTATGATCGATACGTGATGCGTGTTGTTTGGCCGGATGGTCCACGGTATAAACAATCAAACGCGTACGTGCCGTAGCGTGATTATTGCGCCGCATCGGGTATAATCGAAAGGTGGTCGCGTATTATAATAAAAATATAACGATATTTTTTTTGCTTCTATTTGCAGACCTGGTTCTTTACCGACAGGGACGACCCGTACTTTCAAAACCAAACGAGTGAGTACCTTGTCTTAATAATTTCTCACTGTTAATATCTACTTGCACGACCAAAAAGAGATTGTTTAATTATTCGGATTATCATTTAGTGCTGCTCTATTTTAAATCTCTAAACACAGAATTAATCATATGTTTTGCTCGCGATTGCCTGTCGCGTTCGCATTTTTGCCAAACACGAGATAAAATTAAGAGAATCCTTATTTTTCGAGGCAAAACATGTGTTTGAACGGAAATAATATCGCATAATTAATTACCATATGTGTACAGCTATATTTAAATTGCAATATTATCGCGATGCGTTTTCAACTCTCTTTTCTCTTTTATTCGTTGCCTCTCGGAAACAATGTTTAATTTTTCATCGCAGACTATCGATTTTTTTTTCATCTCAGTACTCGCTTTGCAACGCGATTACAGCTAATGTAGGGTAGTTTCGTATTTCTCGTATATCGTGTGTTACGGTTTCACCGATTGCAATTTTACGGGGGAAAAAACATGCACGGGAACAGTAACGGAGAGATGTTGTAACGTTAACAATCGGCATCTCGAGGTCGTGAGAACACCTGTCGATGTGCGAGGGCATAAACATTCTCCGTACAAATGGCTCTATTAAAAAAGAAACCCAAGCGAAGTACGCATATTCCCCGTGTAGGACAAGGCACGGATAATTACGACGGCGGGCCTTAATGGTCGCCCTCATTTATGCGATAATTGCTGGCGAAACGGGCGCGTGTGCGGGAGCTTGTCTCGTTTGCTCGTAGGAGTCGAGTCGCTCGTCAATCATTTCGAAAGTTTAGTCATATCCGCGTCTCGGTCGTCTGCACAGAGAGCTGGGTTAAGGTGCGGTTTATTTGGACAATTGCTTGAGAGGCGTCTTCGAATCGAGGGCGCCGAAACGGCGGAAAAGTGTGATACGATTTCTGTTTATTAATTTTTTCAATTACTTTATTATTTCGTATTATAAGATACGATTTATCATAATTTTTTAAAAGCAAACTAAAGCTAAGTTATTAAGCAAAGCAGTTAATCGACCATGGCTGGCTATGTGTTTTTTAAAAACACAGAAATTTTATTGCGAAAAATATTTCAATCAAGTTAACGTAACATGTCACGTAGCGGTGCTCCTGTCTCCGTTGCTTTCCGACTTTTATTTCCGCGACATTCTGAATTTGTCCCGCATGACAATTTTCTTGTATCTTGAAACGAGAAAGACACAAAGGGTTTCGTTATCGACGATTTGATTCTCTCGCGTAAGGATAGTCTTTTATTTATTTTACTTAGCAATCTTGTCGTTTCATTAATATCGTGGCTGTGCATGCGTTAACACGTCGCTATTGGATAATTACTCACTGATCGAGACACCGGGTGTCCAATAAAGAGAAATCGATGTGTCTATAAAAGAGGCAGAGGGCACGTGTGCGAGTTGCTCGAATAGGCTCCACGGTATTCTATAATGCATACACGTTAGACCGACCGGTTTGCGAACTCCGCACGCAAGTACATCGCACGAGATCCCCGCAATGATCGATAGATCATTCGAGCTCGATAGCCTCCCTATATGTGGAAATTTAAAGCTTACAATTAGTCAGACTCTTGGAATAGATGTACGATAATCGTCTTGTTAATAAGCAGATTAACTTGTTTTGATTATTCAAGTATATTAAAATTAATTACTTAAAATTATTTGCTTGAATCTACTGCATTCTCTTATTTTCAATTTTCACTGATAACTCTTTCGAGAATTAATTGATTGCGTTAGGAAACGTAAAGCGCGGTTCTTAATGAACTTCCATGAATTAAAATAGAAATATTTCTGCTTTCACTGAGAATCGTTGGAGCGTAATTTTTCTTTTATACTTAATTCTGTTATACCAAAAATTTTATTGAGAATTATTAGAACGTGGTGTAGAGCCAGTTCTGAAATAAATTCCGTTGTATCGAAATTGTATAATATTATTAGCAATTTTGTAACGAGATGGAAATCGGATTCATCGTTCGCTTCAGTCGCAATGTTAGTGACAGGCTTATAATACTCGGGATAATAACAACGGCGGATTCTGACCAGCGATATCATTGCCAACCTACTATGGAGCGCATCCGAATTGCACCCTCGGGCGCGGATGCAGATGACGAGCGGGCGGAGAAAGCGGATGATGAGAAATGGCCAGGGGGGGATGGAAAGATGCATCGGGGACGTGAATGATACCCGGTGGACGAGGCGAAGAGCAAGTTCTTGTTCGCGTTATTTCGGTCATCCGGACAATAACGCTCGTCGTTACCGCGTTCGAATGCGAGAAAGAAATTGTCGAGGGAAAGCATCGCAATTACGGGACTTTTGTACGCGGGATAAAACGGACATTGAGAATTCGTTTAAGTGACGAAAGTCGAACGCAATGCACGACGTAAGGGAACTTTTGCGCAAGAGAGACGAGACGCCCTGATTGTTAACGCACGCAGCCGCTTCTGTGATAAACTCGACTTTTATTACTTCTTTTATTTATTTTATCAATAATCATCCTTGCCTCTCTTGGCTCAGGATGGCTTCCGGTTTACAATTTCATCTTTGTTTCTCACAATATTTTCAAAACTTTTAACAAACGCACACTCAGAAAAAAGTTGGTTTGAATTTTGACCTCGCCAGACTTTTATTTAATTTCAAAGAAACCAAAATTTCATTTGATCGAGACTGAAATTTTTCAGAGAGTTCGTATCTATCTCTTCAAATCTAGTAGATTCAAGAAAATATGATTTCCGCGTATCTCATCTTTTTACATAGAACCGAACATTTTCTAAGTCTTGTAAATCTTTTACATATATTCAGCATATCAGTAAATAACAATTGAACTAAATATAATAAATACAATAATAAACTCGATATTATTTCGTGCCTCGCTCATAACTCGGGCTACGCATTAGTCACGAGCGGAGGCAGGAGCGTGGGTGGACGCGGGTCCCGAGGAGGATAATATCGGGTGCGGAAGGTCGCAGGAGGAGGGATGAGCACGCGAACCCTCGGGCACCGTCCGACATTTGACCTCACCACGCGCTCTGCACCGGTTTGCACCTCCGCATCGGCCATTTCTCATTACCGTTTCTACCTGACTCGAACTCGATCCCCCGCGATTTATTCAGGTGTCGATGCCGACAACCTTGCGCGGGAGATTGCACGCACACACTCTCTCAAGTGCACACTACAGAAAGTACCAGTTGCAGGAATTAATTCGATTAATCGTTGATTGCGCGGCATTTCGTTGCTCTTTATTCAAATTGCTCTTTTGTAAAGAAGAACGTTTAATTTATTTTACTCGTGTACATTCGTACACGCATTTACAAGACTGGTAATAATTATTAATAAATAACAATGGCTCGTACGATAAAAGTCCAAGTAGAAATAGAAGGGTCTCAGAGACAGGATTGTAGCGTCACAACAAAATTATTTAATCAAATGAGACAATAAATAGACGGTTCGGTCCTAACTGGACCAACTTCAGTATATGAAAAGATATAAATTAACGCACGAGAGATAACGGTATATCAAATATAAAAAGTAATGATAATAATTATTTATTATGCGCATTATGTATGCAGGGTATCCCAGGCCTAACGCATCACGCGGTAATGATAGATTCCCGAGATCATTTTGAGACGAAAATCCGATTGCCTCGGCATTTCGGTACTGTATGGAATTTTCGTCTGAAAATGATCTCGCGAATCTGTTATTAACGTGTAGTACGTTGGGTCTGGGCCGCCATGTAAATTCTCTGTAAGTTTCCTGGTGTAAGCGGCTTCTCGCATGCTGAAACCGCTCGTTTATTTACTTCGATTTCGCTCTAACGTTGCGAGTCATGCGAGGCTCACGTGCCGCGCGGTCTGTTAACTAGGCGACGAATTTGAATACCGAAACGATCGTTCTATTCTTATTGGCTCGCTCCAAAGCGGAGCTGGTATTCTCACATTATACAGGGTGTTCCAGGAGGAAAGGTCAATATTCTGGGAGGTGATAGTGTCGGTCATTTTAAGCAAAAACGTTCATATGAATACGTGTCCCATTCCCCACTGTTTCCGAGATAGAGCGCACTTTATTGACGTTCTCGTTCAGATAAAACATGAACGCTGGGCAGCGTTCCACTTTCACGCAATGTATTGAATACCTTGGAAAACACTTTGCGATTCGGAATTCTGCGTGTAGGTAAGCGTCGACGGTATTCTTCGACAGCAGCAGTAGCACTACCGTCACAGAAACCGCGAACATACAGCATATCTGCATATTCGACATTAGTGAATATGCGAGGCATTTCGAACGTTTGTACAATGTTATCGGCACAACGATCAACAGACGTGTAAGAGTAAATTCCCGCGGACGTTTACGAGGTTGGATGAAGGGTGAAGTGTACAGAAAAAAGTAAACGCGCGAGACATTCAAGTAGCTCTATCTCGGGAACGGTGGGGAAAGGGAAGTATATTCGTATGAACATTTTTGCTTAAAATGATCGATACTATCACCTCCCAGAATACGGACCTTTCCTCCTGGGACACCCTGTATAAGCATTGTAGCCGCACAGAGAACCTGGCGGAATAAATCGGAACGCTTACATCTCTCTTTCGCGATACTCTCCTGACTCCCTCCCAATCCCCAATTCTCAGTCTACACTAGTGTGTTGGTACGTCGCGACGTGACTCGTAGCTTATTATTGAATGTTATTGTAAGCCAGTCACGACCGAGGCACGAGCTGCGCGAGCGGATAATAGACACGATCCTTTGGTAACGAATTTTCACTGTGAGTTTCTCTCCTCTACCTTTTTAGAATTTAATTTAAAATAATTATCTTGGATCACGATCGAGAATTACTTCCGATGTGATTGTTCGAGGGGATATCCCGCGTAAACGTGTGTGCGTATCATCGATCGCGATACACTCTCCTCTCGGAAGAACGGTTCTCGCTCCTGAAGAAGCGAGAACCATCAGCCCGAATTAATTAGGCCGCTGTAGCGGCGGCCCACGAGGATGATTATTAACCTCTTAATTAATTGCACGCCCACCCTACATTCAGCCCTCTCCCTTTGCTTTCAGACGGCCACATGATCAACACCAAGTGTTCATCCTCGCACAATCGGCGGGCCCTTTGCTGTAAGATGTCGGTGGAATTCGACAGATTTCTCGACAGTGGCAGAAAGTGAGTACACTATTTTCAGTCTCCAAAAAATTTGCGAATGCCTCGTCGAGTATAATAAAATCATATGTGGGAAGGAAATGTGCCAGTGTGAGTCATAAAATCAACGGAACTCGGTTTTCATAGATTTCAGAATTTCTCTTTAATGTAATAAACGTTTCGACCCTTCTTCGGGTCTTTCTCAGTAATAATAATATCAACACATTGACAAAATTATAAAAATTAATATAATAAGATTAGCTCGTTTCGTGTAAAGACAAATGAAAAACCTGATAATAGCGGAGTTTCTGCTAAATTAATTGATTATCTGTTGGTTCCACCGTGAATTTATTGCCCTTGGAGTAAAGTCTGTTTGGTGGAAAATTGATTGTTAGATCGTTGCGAAAAAAGATTTGTGATTGAATTTGGAAGTTGAAAACCTGCTGTCTCGTATTACAATCCTATCTCATAATAGAGAACTTTCCTCTACATATCAGTTTCATAAAGAAGAAGCATTTAGCAGTTTCCCTCCCGACAAAGGTGTGTTTATCCATCCATCTACCCAATCAGACATAATCTACCGCACGAATCTCCGACGTGCATCCATCGGAAAGATTTCGAATCCAATGCTATCACACTTTGATAAATTATAAAATAGAAAAGACATAGCAACATTATACAAGTTACCCTTATTTCGTAGTAAGTCAATCCTTTATTTAATTCGAGAGAGGAGAATAGGAATTAATGATTCAGCCTAAATGTTATATTATTTTTACTACAGAAGATTATGACAAATTTAAATATGTCGAGAAAATGTCTTGTCATCAGAAATGCTTTCTGAGAGAATGGAATCGATATGTTTGACCTCGTAGGACCAAGACATTCCGCGAGGGAATTTAACGTGCCGTTACACGCATTGTTCGTCGCGATACACGTATTTACGTATTGGGTATAGTATACTCGCGAGCATAGATACGCCTTGTCGGACGAATATCGAGCATTATCTACGTGCGGCCGAATAGCGTAATGGAAGCCCCGGATGTCTATTCGAAGAAAAGAGATACGCGTCTCTCCTTTTCCCCGGCAGCATCGAATAACCCTGACGTCGGATATAAAGCCTGTCCTCACCGGCGATATTTAGTCCGGATGGCGATACGCCCGGGTGTCCTTACGCTTCGGGGCTTATCGGATCACCCGACGTGTCCGAGATCGGATAATTGTTCCGAGAACGGGTCGCGCCGTTCCTTCCCGTGCGAGACAATTGCGTGGATAATCTTATTAGCGCGATAAACGTAAGGTACGAACGGTTAAAGTGCAGATGCGGACGCGAGAGAGATTTCCGCTTTATCGCTGATCTTCGCTCTGGCAGACAAGTCATCTTTGTTTCCAGGATACGTTATAGACTTTATGCTATCTACTGCTATAAGAATGTCGAATTTAACCCGATAGATGGGACGAAACGATAACTACGAGGTATTTCTTTTGCCGTAAGTTCAGCGAACGATGGTTTGCGTAGCAACATTTGAAGACAAAATCTTATCGTAAAGCCTGTATCAGACTACGGATTGAGATTGAGATTGATTGAAGTTTGACCAGTCGGAGTAAAATTCATTATACTTAATCTTGGTAAACTTTACACCGATTATTACACGTATTACACGTATCTATAATATATTCACACGAACGCGCAAAGTAGTATCTGACAATTTGCGCTTTAGATTGTTTTGAAGAATTTTCTTCAAAACCGACCACATGACACAAACCCACAGATTTCAGATTGTAATCGAATGTAGTGCAAATATGCGGTCTACATTGTATCAAACTGAAGTAGAATCACGCTGATTAATAAGAATGATCCATAGCTCTCTGCTATTCCGGCAAATTGCCCGACGCGGAAACATAAATCGTCGACCATTACCTCGCCATTGGCGAAGGAAATATGAATGTATGCGCCTACTTACGGAGCAATAATAATCGCGCCGTTTATAAATAACCGGCTTTCATCGGAGCAACCGTGAAGCGTGACTCTCAGCAAAAAAAAAGGAGGGGAATGGAAACGCGTTAATCTACAAATATTTGCGTACTGTAGACGCGCAAATTGAATAAAATCTATAAACTTTAAGCAAGCAGAAATGTAAATTTTAATAAACGAGACAAGCGCACCGACATGATATCAAAGATACAGGATCAACCTGTTGAGCCGTTCGGCATTAATTATCCGAATGTGCCTAAGTGACGAGAGAAGACGCGGTACTCGAAGAATTATACCATTGCAAAAATGCTTATACGTTCGAAGAATTCTCTCGCGATTAAACTATATCGTGCTAGCAATATAGAAATTTTAACACTATTATACTTTCAATTATAAATAACAATGGCTCGTATAATAAGATCAAGTAATAAACGGAAGGGCTCAGAGCCTGAACAAGGTTGTAGTGTCCAATAAAAATATTTTAATTTCTGGTCCAGAATGAACGTTTAAGCAGAAAGAGATCAGTCGTATTGGATTAATAATTTGTATGTACTCTTATAATTTTTATAATTATTGGCCTGTTGTTGAGCCTATCTCATAATAGGGGATTTTCCCTTTAATATCGGTATTTGTGGTTCGAGGCTGGGAAATTAATTAAGTGATATGAAAAATTTAAATGAAATATCTCTCTCTCTCTCGTGTTCTTATTTTCTTCCTTCCTCAGCCGAATGTGCGTCACTGCCGCGCATTTGAGCAATCTTGGAGCATCAAGAGACGTTAATGGATTTGCATAGGCGCGTTTCTCGAGTGTGAAAAATGAACCGATGCACGAAAAAAAATATATACCCACATATGATTTAAACGCGACTACGCACGGCAAACTTGGGTAACTCGCCCGGGACTTCCGCGTTGTTTGCGCAGGAAAGTGTTATTGCTGCGACTTGACCATCGAAAATTCGTGTTTGCACAAGGTGGCCTAAACGCCGACTAACGTACGCAGTTCTAGGCACACACTCACATACGCACTTACACATCGGCACTTACGCACCGACAAAATATTATCTCTACGCGAAGTGGTAGCGCCTAGAAAAACACATCTAATGGCCTGTCGCCGTCATAGACGACTCCGTCGCAAACCAATTAACGTGCAGTCGGCGTTTTCTTTCATTTTTTTTTGGAGGGAAAGGCATCTTTCTAAAATTTATTTAGAAAGACGCTTGAAAACCGGAGGAAAACCCGGGATTGCAGGGGCAATCGCGTCTGGATTGTCGTATTCTCTCTCGTGTCGAATATGCGATGTGTGAAAAAATTCTCAAAATATATCGGCAAACGTTTATTTTCGCGCAAACGCACTGTACATCACACATGTCGGGCATCTGGTAAGAAGGTATATGGGAAATTTTGCAAACACCGTGCTTTGCATAATCATTCTCCAGTGATACAAAAAACAATATCGCTTACCATAATAGATTCCCGCGCGTTTATTTGGTTTATTATGATATGCTACATATGTTCTTCCGCGTTCGTAGAGCAGCAGGCCTCTCGTCTTTGATCTTATATCTCTATATTCATGCACGTACCGTCGCGCGCTTCCTCTAGTTTACTTGCCTCACCGCCTGCCTAAACAGGCGGTTTAAGTACCGACGACAGATTGTTCTGGGAAATTAACCTACTGAACACTCGACTCGAGAGTCCTTTGTACGCGGTAAATTCTTTTAATTACTCGATGTTTAAATAACAGCCTTCTGCTACCTACACCCTGCACGGAAAAGACTTCCGGATCCAATGCTGTTACACCTCGGCCTTTCACAAAATAGGATATAGCGACAAGTATATATTTATTGTCAGGAAAAGAATATTTTAATATTAAGTGAAATATTCTTAAGTCTGGAGTAAAAAATGATATGGGTGCGTGCGCATTAACACATCGAGAGAAAGTTCATTCTGAAAGCAAGAATATAAAATGTTAAATTCACGTAGATATGTTACCCTTATTTCAACATAGTAAGTCAATCCCAGTCAATTCGAGAGGAGAACTTTTATGCCTTATTTCTTTTACTACACGAGGTTGTGATAACTTCAAATATATCAAGAACATTTCTTGTCTCGTCATCAGAAATCCTTTGAGTGTACCGTAATATCAGTAACATATGTTTAATGCACTTTCTAAAAGTGTAAAAATCTTTTACACGGCATCACACTTTGTTATCGCGACATTTTTATACACAACTCGCTGAAAATCGACGCACAATGTTCGTTCGAAGAAGTTGATGTCGCAGTCGACATATTTTCCATGGAAAATATACGAACGTGCATTTTTCGTGGTTTTCGTGGGTCATTTCAAAATGGTTCTAGGGCATTTATCTCTTTTGTATGCTCTTTCAAAAAGTCTACAATACGCCACGATTCTGTGGTACGAGAGCGACGAGGAGGGGAAGGGGGGGGGCGAAAAGAAGGGTCGGAGGGTAGCGTTGTCTCTCATCGAGCTCGTCCCGTGTCGTGAAGACGAGCGGGGAGAGATTAAGGACGGAGGGAAGTGGTACCAGCTGGCCAGGAGGAGACGATTCAATCTCTTTCTCTTCCTCCTTCCTACCAACCGAAGCCTTTCGAGAGGGCATCGAGAGGACGGGAGATAGCCGGGCGTAGGGAAAAAGTGTCTCGAATGTCACATGCGGGCCTGCTACGTTTCTTACTGCCCCTCCCGCGTCTTTAACTACCTTCCTTCGCTTCTACGGAAAACCTATCTCATCTCCTCTTTTGCATACGAAAGGGAGAAATAATAATGACGTGATACCCTCGTAAAAATAAAAGTTCGATGAAACCACGCGGTTCTTTTGAATAAGACTTTATCGCCGAAATTTGTTTTAATAATCATTAAAATTAAATTAAGTCTCTCGCGATGATGTAAACGCAAAAATAACAATTGGGCAATGGGAGTATAACGCGTTATTATTGTGTGAGTTATATAATTAACAGACAAAAGGACTGGGAGAGACGTGCTGTATCTGTCGCCCGTCTCTCTACTACTACTACTACTATCGCTGCTCGCCGC